CCATCCTCGCTCATCCAAAATGAAGATATATTAGTTTTCTTGTGACCTTTTAGGCAACGTGATAGTACTTCACATGTTTAGCTGCTCCAACTTTCAGTACATTACAAAACATGGGATTAGACGTGGAGCCTATGGGGGGGGGGGGGGGGTCACGCAGCAGCAGACACTCCTCTCATAATAGATCATAGAGTTTAAAGGGTAGAACTTCAAGACATGTTACCATTCATCATAACTGAGGATAAGAGGCCTCAGTACCCAAATGGAATGGTTATCCTCAATTGCAACACAAAAGTTTGACAGCTTTTTAAATTAGGCTATTATCTTCATTAAAGTGTATTATATTACAACTTGAAGGCACAGGAAATATGATTATACCTGAGACATGAAGCTATTTTCTGTCTGAAAATGTTCAGCTCTTAAAGGGCCATAAGACAGCTTCATGATTAGCAGCTGCCTCAGGTCCTCGAATGCTTTCCAAGGTCACCTGTGGGTCAAATCTTCATGGATCATCTGATGTGATGTTTTGAAAGAGGTGCTGTTATCCAATGGTTAAGACTCCATGTTAGGAATACTCTCAAAACATAAAGGGGACAATCACATGGCGAAAAAAAGCAAACAAATATTCATGATTTATGACATGTGGATGCTCTCCATCAGTTTTTAAGTGACAATATAAGCACTAGCGACAAAAAAATGTACATTTTATGTTCAAAATTCCTTTTGCACTTGGAAGGAATTATGAAATGAAGAGGAAAGGGGGATATAATAGAAAAGTTTTGTCTATGATATTGCAAAAATGACATTTTTGTGTGTGTTACTGTGACAAAATGTTCTGTTTTTTTCTCTTAAACCAACAAACCAAAATATATGGTTTATAAAAAAGGAGATGCATTTTAATATTACATGACCTTATCTTTATACTAAAATAATCATTTGCACGTTATTCTTGATCCCATAAGCTAATCCTGTTGTGTTCAGTCATGTTTTCCTGACATCTTCAAAAATGGTCTCTGTACATACCATGCAGGGAATGCCATCACTTGACACACCTTAGGGCTCCTATATAATATAATTAACAATATCTGCTATGACTAAGGTCTCCTATATAAACACACTGCACAATTGTTAATTAAATCAATCTGATTGGTTGGGGTGCTGGACAGCCTAGCTGGCACAAATTGACAGTAAACATTAATGGCGCCCCATGTACAATGGTCATAGTCATCGTCGCAGTGACCATGGGTTAGAATCCGACCTCGGCCCTTTGCTGCATGTCATCCCTCCGCTCTCTCTCCTCCCTACATTTCTCTTCAGCTGTCCTATCCTATACAGGCAAAAATTGCCCCCAAAAATATATCTAAAGAAAAATAAAAAAAACTAATTGGTTGAAAAATATCATAAATTTGGTTCGTGATTTTTCATGCTAGACAAGTTGCGAACTACATGCTTAGATTTTTTTCACTCTTCTTTTGTAATAAAGATACTGTATGGTGTTTAAATGACATGACACAGGTTCACTGTAGCCCCCTGACTGTTCTGTTCCCTCTCCAATAAACCCAAAAATGGGACACATTCTGTCCGTCTGGCTTTTATGAAGGTTTAACTCCAACAGTTCCTCTGGTCTCTCTTTCCACTTTTTATATCAGGCCTGTGCTCACTCATTTGTTTAGTCTGTCATAATGCTTTCATGAGTTGCTATCATAGTTTTATATGACAACATAAGCATGAATGCCAAACGAGTTACATCATGGGGAGAGTTGTATTTTAAGACTAATATTTACATAACACAGACCCTGTTTCCTTTTTCACTTGAGATGAAACCATCTGATGAAATGTGAATGAGGGCAATGTTATGGCTAGGAACGAGCAGAGATAGCAGTTATAAACGTCATAAAAAATGAAAGAGAAGAGAATGGAAACCTGTAGCAGAGGGTGTTTGGAGCCAACTGTTTGATGCTTGGCCTGTGGGCACAGCACCTTCCCTCCTCGCCTGGAGCATGTCTGGCTTTTCGTCTGGCTTTTACAGGAGAGTAGACAGATTACTTGCAAGGGTTGAGACGGGTCAGTGAGCTGAAGGTACTAGGTGACATGGCAGCATGGGGGTGGGGGGGACCATATCCTTTTACAGTCTGGAAATAAAGCGGGCCAGCACCGGTGGAATGGCCCCACGTCTGTCATCTTATTGGGTCATAACATGACGAGGCCACAGCAGGAGCACTTTCAGCTGAGGAGGAGGTAAAGAGTAAACTGACCCTTTTACAGTACTGTACAGTAGTTTGACATTACTTTCATAGCTGCAGTATTCCCAGACAGATACCACTGTCCTTGCCTGTCATTGTTGAATTGTTTAAGAAACCTTGGGTCATTGCTGCTCAGAGGTTTGAGCTTTTTAATGGAATAAAAGAACAGTTAACCTCTTATAGTTTGATAGTTCGGGATACATTGATAGGATTTCTAGCTTTTTATCAGAGTTAGATGAGAAATTCAATGCCACTCTCAAGTCTGTACTGCAAATATGAATCTTCATATAGCAGCCCATTGGATTATTTTAAGAAGAGAAACAGCGTGCCCTGTCCATCAGGGATTCACTTGAATCAAAGTATTTGACTTTTGTTCTGGACGTTATGTCCCGTGTCCCACAGAGTTCCTGTTTGCCTCAGTTTTGAGATCCAAACAAGACCAAAAATAGTTGTTTTTCAACCAAATGTTTACAACAGACCAAGATTAAACCCTATAGAGAACTTCCTTTTTTTGAATAGGGATTTTTTTTTTGTGATCACTGATTAACTAGTTTTTTTTCTCCTTATACTGCTAATGCTTCTTAGCTGCCAACTACACTCTGCTGTAGATTTCAAATGTGCTCTAAAAAAACGCTCACTGATTGTCAAATCAGCCATCAAAATATTACACAGGACAATATTTGCAACCACATAGTGCTAAATAGAACTACTGAGGACGTACTTATGGCCAAGCATAAAACTATATTATGCTCAGACAGGGAGGGGGTCTAATTTCAATACTTTATAATCCATCAATAGATGGCCAGCCTAAATGGTTTTACAAAGCATCATGCAGTAAACTGTACAAACTTTATGAACACAAACTGATATATTTTTTTATCCCTTCATATTTGTCAAAAGTTGAATAAAGTGATCCTGTGCCTTTTTTCAGTTTACAGTTTTTCATATTCCAAGCTGTGGAAATAAGCACCGTATTATGCAACTTTGTCCAACTCATTTTCTTACACCAAACATTTCAGGATTATTGTTTATGTGCCTTTATGATGTAACTTGGTGACGTTTAAGCACCCAGAATTCGCAATAGATTCATGAATCATAAAATATATTTTGGACTAAAATCATGCATCAGTGTTGACCCCATTCCTCGATGCAACTTTTGTTTGACATGGGACACATGCAGCAACAATAAAGATTACACTTCTGGGTATTTGCACCGGCTTCAAGGTTGACCTCCTGGAGTCTCACCTCGTTGCCTGCCAACTTAAGGGTGAAGACACAACCGTTGGAGATGTCTTCAACCATTCAAGAAAAAGTCGCATCGGGCTTTCTGAAGATATAAAATTGATTTTCTTACCCTCTGACTCAGCCAGTTAATTTTCCCCCTGTTTACAAAGAGAGCAATTATGCCTTTCCCCCCCCAGAATTTCAGACTATTCCTTTTTTGATATGGCTCAGTACATATCTAGTTGTGGAACTGAGAAAAACAACAAACAGCTGGAGTTAAAGGGGAACAAAGGAATTTGTCTGTAATGAGTGTTGCTTTCATCCAGCCAAGGGAATACACATAGATGGCCAAGATTAGACATCCTTCCTGCAGCATTTTTCATGGTGACTCTTGGGATTTAAGGATCGAAGAACACGCAAGTGATGTACAAAGGGAACAGCTCAAGGTGCATCGCCCCTTGACCCCTGCATATCATCAGGAGACAACCAAAATAACCCATGCAAATTTGAAAACACACAGACATGAACCCATTCCTCTTCAAACAGAGGAGGCTGTCACTGTGACGAGAATCGCAGTATTCCTGGAATGTCTGATCTGTCAGGGCCAAGATGCCTAAGGGAAGGGACTGAAAATACCCCATACCCACTTTTCTTTCACATATACTTGCACGCATGTAAGAGGATGATTCATACGACAGGCCGTATTCAAAGTGAGAACAGATTACTCCTGACCTCATGTATTCACAGGTATGATGTATATTCACACTGACACTGTTCTCTTTCATCTTCACTCAACACCCTCTCCTGTCTTTGTCCCCTCTAATCTAATTTTTTTCACAGACTTTCCACAATCGAAAAACTTTTCACATGCTATCCAGTGATTTTGATGTATCTTAGCCAATGGCAAAACTTGCCTGTAATATTATACTCTTTTTTTTTCTCCAACGACATGTCTCAGTGAGGTGATGTCAAGGTTAAAGTAATGAAAAAAAGGCATGCCTCTCTTGCTGGTGTCAAGGGTTGTGCGACCCCTCAGGTGCAGGGCTGCTGTCTGTCTGACGAGGCCGGTAAAGCCCGGTGAATGAGTGGCACTTAGAAATAAGTGCCGATATGTGGCCAGAATGTAACACAATTGGACAGCACCAGGACGGATGTTTGAAGTGATCAGTTGATTGTGTTAGACTAATGATGATCTACATGCATGACAACTAACAGGTGTTAAATGAGGAATGTAGAGAAAAAATGATGCTGCTTGAGGGTAAATGTTTTAATTAAGTTTAAGGGATATAGATATGTGAGGTAAACGAATGTTAATTGATTGGGAAAATAAAGTAAGTGTCATCTATACAAACAAAATCATGAGGAAAAAAAGCATTTAAAAAAAATGATGGATATAAATGATATACTGAGGTGTCTGCCAAAGATGGTTGTCCACTGAAAAATCTGTTTTCAGGAATCGGGGTGGGAGGGGTCTGAGAAGGAACAAGGAGTGGGCGGGGCTAACGTCTTCATATTGCAAATGTCAATGAACGCACCACAACACGTTGAACCTTAAAGCGCTTGGGATGGACTTATTGACAGATAATGACTTTAACGCTGTCAGATAATATGACTTAATTAATACCACAGGTCTCTACACCATGAAGGACCAAAATGATCTCATGTTACTGCGTGTTGTATTTTTTATTTTTTAACTGCGTCGTGAGCGTTTGTGGTAGTTCTAAAAGCAACATGTTGCACTATTCAGGACTCGATATTATTGGATCCAGGGGTTGAGGGCGCGTTTCTTCTTTCGTGGAATAAACAACAGTTGACTTTTATGTAGAAAAAGAGGCACAACTACTTGTCATGATGATACTGTGGACTTTACTTTTCTTCATCCCGGTGAGCGCACCCTTTCCTCATCCAACCGGTGAGTTTGAACCTGTGGTGACTTACGTTGAAGCCGACTCTTTATAAGAGTTATAATAACAAAAGAGAGGCAGAGTCATAGTGGCACTGATTACAAAGTCGAGTGTCAAAGAGGCGGCTCTCTTAATAAGAAAATGTGTTGTCTATTGCATGTATTGTCTCTCACTGTCAGATAAACTCATCTTTTCTTTCCAGAAATGTCTAAACACAAAAGTCCAGCTGCCATGAGCCGCTGCTCCAGACGAGCTTGTAACCCTCGCATGGGCAACCTGGCCCAGGGTAGACTACTGAGCACCCTGTCGGTTTGCGGATCCAACTCCTCGGAGCCCTTCTGCTTCTACAAAGAGACGTCTGCCCCCCGCAGCAGGGGGTCCTGCCGGGCTGCAAAGTGTAGTCAGTGCAACTCTGCTGTCCCCAGCCAGGCGCACCCTCCCTCCGCCATGAATGACTCCCCCTTCCGAAACCCTGACTCTTGGTGGCAGTCTGCAGAGGCGGTGAAGGAGGAGACGCTCCAGCTCGACCTGGAGACGGAGTTCCTCCTCACTCACCTAATCCTGGTGTTCCGCTCCCCCCGACCTGCTGCCATGGTGTTGGAGCGCTCCCAGGACTATGGGCACACATGGAAGACCCTCAGGTATTTTGCCAGGGACTGTGTGGAGGTGTTTGGGCTGGCTGAGGGCTCGCCTGCTTTGGAGAGTGGAGCAACCTGCACCTCAAAGTATTCAGGAGCTTCCCCTTGTACCAGAGGAGAGGTGAGTGTGAGTGTGTAAGTGTTAACATGGTGTGTTAAAGATGTGTGTTTGACAGTGTGGAATGGGGGACATCACTCTGCAGGTAAATAACCAACATTGCAGGTGTTTTACTTTACAAGAACTGGTGTATAGAGAACAAAAATACCTGTAGAAGGTGGTTGCCTCCTCATGCCCTTTGTAGATCCAACTGTGGATGACTGTAATGCAGTGGGGATTCATTTAGCTCCTTACATGTCGCACCTTTTAGGCCACATGTACAGAGGCTGTAGTCCTCATCACAGCGGCTGAGGGTTCCAATGCGATCTTGGCCCTTTGCTGCATGGCATCCGCCCCTCCCCTCTTTCTCCTCTCAACATTTCATGCCTCTCTTCAGCTGTCCCATCCAATAAAGAAAAAAAAAATGGCTGAAAAATACAACACAGAAAAGAGCTGGGTTACATTGTGTTCGTTTAGTTTACATAATACATGAATTAAATACTTTATTAAAAACATTATATTCTGAAAATCAATGACATTATCATATTGTCGTACTATGATTTAATTGTAGGTTTTCGAGCAACATGGTAAATGGACTTGAGCTTATATAGCACTTTTCTAGTCTTCCGACTACTCAAAGCGCTTTTACACTGCATGTCACACCCTTACACACATCGCTATGTTGTATCATCCCTCAGAAGTAACTAATCCCATTCATACACCGCCACTGAAGCAGCGGGAGAAATTCAGGGTTATATCTTGCCCAAGGACACATCGGACCCAGCTGGGGATCGAACCCTTGACCTTCCGGTTGAGAGACTCTACCAACTGAGCCACAGCCGCCCCTAACATGCAGGGCAGTCCTAATTTAACATTTAATAAAGATAAAGGACAAAGACAAAAGTTTCTTTATATTTAAATAAAATAAAATAAAATATTTCTGACATCCGAGGGAGACCACATGAAAACACACCGTCAGGGGCTTCACAGCAGTAACACTCACCATCTGCTCTGCTCTTGTTGTCTGTGAATTGGCACCAGAGCGCACTATAAGCCGATATCACACAACCCACTGAACAAACAGTTGACCGGGCTTTGTAAACTGATCTCCTCTGATCAGCTGTGGGAGACCTTTTTAGTCAGGCCAGCTTTCTGAGCCGCAAACTGCTTTGACATGCACAGGCCGAATAACAATGTTCACTCTTACCTCTGATGTTTCCTCAAAGCGCTTTTCTGACCTGCTGCATCATCACGGGCCGGTGCTGAGCCAGACAATCAGCTATGGTTAATTCATGAGCAGGCCTTTTATTCACACAGATCATGTCAAAGAGACTCTCACAGGGACAAAGAGGCTCAGACCATGTTGGGAGGTTCTGGCTGAATGTCTCAATAAATATATGGCTTTGACTGATCTCATAATTACAGTTTATCTGCAACAAATATGTGTCCTGTTACAGTATGTCAGCTCTCTTTGTAAGCCTCTTACCCTTAACATAAATGGTGTCTCTTTTGCTAAACATGCAAGACATACCCTAAAAGTTGTTTGGTGTGTTTTGGCTATTAAATAACACATTCATAATTTAATTTTTAATTGAACTCTGCTTGCAGGGAACAGATTTAGCATTTGATTCAATAAAACATGCTGAGCTAAAGTGAACTGTATCACTTACTATTTATGTCACATAACAAAAAATGTCCCTCATCAGCAACTCTCTTGTTTACAATGCAAAATGTATGAGGTAAAGATTGTTGGACTATAAAATGTAATGACGTTAAGTTAACAATTTAACATGTGGGTTGATGGAGGTATGAACATTGAACAATGTCAGTTAAGTCAAATAATAACATCAGTTCTTTAAAAAAAGGACGTGTTTGAGATAAGTTGTTTGTCCACTTGCTCTTTCACCAATGCTTCATGTTTTTAATCGTATTTCCTGATTGTCTGTTGAACAGTTTTCATACTTGACCTAAGATGAGGATTAATAACCTGTGTAAATTGTAAATGGGGAAGAGATGTTGTATCTGAAAAACAAACGCTGTAACACATCTAATGAGAGAGAAAAAGAACCATGTTTATATTGGAGCTCGTCTGACTTTTCTAGCACAGCAGCTACAAAAGGAGCATGGTAGACAAACAAGATTGATGCCTGTTTTTTTCTTTGGTAAACTTACATCATTTGTTTCCATCTTAATCATTGGCTCTATATCAATTTGATCATTTGCTTAAAAGACTAAAACGTCAAACAGCACATTTCTAAGATTTGCTTTTTGTCTGTCCTCTTTTCTTTGATGTCCAGGTGATCTATCGAGCGTTGTCACCCTGGCACTCAGTGGATCCATATGGACCAGCAGCCCAGAACCAGCTCATGATCACCAACCTGAGAGTGCGTCTGCTGCAGCAGCAGCCGTGTCCCTGCCAGGCGAAACATCCTGACGCTGCCGCCCTCCCCACACAACATTATGCCATGTATGATTTTATTGTGAAAGGCAGCTGCCTTTGTAATGGACATGCTGAACACTGTGTGCCAGCCAGTGGCTACAAACCCAGTCTACAGAAAACAAACAACATGGTGAGTGATTTTAGACTGGTTTATTGCACACATACAGCTTCCAGGTGCACAATTAATCACAGAGGAAAAGCTCTTGCGCCGTTGTATCTGTTGTGAAATTGCACGGAGATGTTGTGTCAACCTGAGGTCTGAAAGCCGCTTCATATTGCCTTTGTTCTGTTTGGTAAGTTTGGGACTATACTGTTTGTGGTTTGATTCCCACCACTCCCTCATTACTTAGCTGTGTGTTGGCATGTGCTGCTGAAGCTAAACACAGCAGTGAAGGCTAGATATTAGGCAACAGCTTTACCTACCATTACAGGGATTTAACCATGTGGAAACCTTCATTATAGTATTCAGCATAATGCCTTCAAAATCCTTTGTCTTGGTCATGTTATTGTCTTTACTGTAAATGGAGAACAGAGCCAATTGTTACACAGGCAGTGTGATTGTGTATGTAGATGTTGGTGTGTTGCAATAATTACATAGTATAACAGATGCCACATGTGGTGGCTTTGGTGCTAAAAATCAGCATCAGTTAAAGTTAAAGTTAATGTGTACAAGAATACAAACAGTCAGACTTATTATGAATAACTCTTATCCTTCATAAAATCAAAATGGATAAATTATAAAACAATTTACCCCCCTTATAGTGTGTGCCCATAAAGCCTTGAGATATTCAGACCGAATTATTATTTCTAACCAGGCTGTAAATATGTTTCTGTTGTTAAAACTGAGATTTTTGAATGGGTGTGTATGTTACTTCCGGGGCTTCTGTAGCCATTATCAAGTGGACACTTGAGGTACTGCAGGTTTTTGCACATCTGCATTGGTTTCATTTTTCAACACCAGAGTTTGCCGCTTGCTTAAGACCTTAATTCTTCAAGGACTCAATAGAAGATGTATGTTTAAGTCCAAAATTAAAGTATTAACAGTAAACGTTAAAACAAAAAGCTAATACCACCCTGTTACACAACAAAGCCCTAATTATTTTAACATAGGTCCCGCCTCTGATAAGGCAAATAGCCAATCATGGTTTAGGATTTTAGGGCGGTAAGGTCTGTAGGTGTTGTAAATAATTAAAAAATAATCTTTAAATAAGAAATCATGTCAATAAATACACAAAGACTCCCAAAACTTGCAAGAGACTATATTCAGAGAAAAATGATAAGATTAATGAAGATTCCACAAAGTTCAAACTAATTTTCCTGTCTGTTTCTTTTGCCTGGCAGGTTCATGGTAAGTGTGTCTGCAGACATAACACGGCCGGTGACCACTGCGAGCGCTGTGCTCCTTTCTACAATGACAGACCCTGGCAGTCTGCCAACGGCATCACAGGGACGCCGCATGAGTGCCAGAGTGAGTGATGGGGCACAGAGTCAAATGCAGAGTAGGGCACACAGCATGTAGACTTATCTCCAGAATGAATTTAGCCTCATATATCACAAGTAACCTTTAGACGCTCACGCCTGATGAATCACAGAGCACTTCCTCTTCTTTTTTTTTTTTTTTTTTATGTCAGCTGCCGCATGAGTTGTCACAAGGGCTTCCAAATTGAAAGATCTTCAAGGCAAGAAATAACCTCTCAGTCTGTTTGTCTGTCCGTCTCAACCTAGAGTGCAAATGTAACGGTCACGCCAAGAGCTGCCACTTCTGTCGTGGACTGTGGCTCGCATCTGGACGGCGGAGTGGAGGTGTGTGTGATGACTGCCGCCACAACACAGAGGGCCGTCACTGTCAGTACTGTAGGAAAGGCTTCTTCAGAGACCCTAGCCGACCCAAAACTGCCCCTGACTCCTGCACATGTAAGGCCCTTAAAAACCGTTTTTCTTCAGACTGAAACTATAAATCTGTGTGGACGAGTGCCAGCAGGGAATTCCAATTAAGGAAGGGAAGCCTTTGAAACACAGAGGGTTGGCAATTGAGCTGAGATTTATTTGACCCTCAAAATGATCTCTTTGATAAGGAAGTTTTCCCGAAGCATCCTTTCTATGTCTCTGCGCTGTCAGTGATGAGAAAGTGAGACACCTTTAGATCGCTCCTTAACAGGAATGACTGTACTATTTTGGAATGTGACTGTGATTACGAACAACGGAGGAATTTCCCACGGACCGTGCAAGCGCATTTTTCTCATTCTCCCCCTCCCAGGCACGCTGCAGCGTTTTTAAGACCAAACACGCCGTTTTTTTTGGAAACAAGTCTGTAACAAAAAAATAAATCTGTCATCACAGCGTAGCATCAGGCAGCAGGTCTGACAGAGCAAAGAGAGAGAGAGAGTGATTTACTGTTTGTTTTTGCTGCAGCTGCTCAGAGCATGTCGAGTACACACTCCCAGCTTGTCCCTCGTTACAGGAGGATGATAAAACACGTAGAAGCACAAGCAAACATATTTTCGTACGCTGAAATCCCATGGCAATATGAAAGTAAAACAAGTGTGTTTGTCCTGTCCAGGCTCTTCATGTACTCAGAGCGCTTTGCCAGAAAAGGTTACACGTCTTTTGACTTACAAATAGAGATGTTAACATGCACTGCTCCTATTCTGTCTCCTTCTGCAGCCTGTTCCTGCCACCTTGTAGGCTCAGTCCTCTCAGGTGGTCGCCCTCTCTGTAACCCCAGCAGCGGGGAGTGCACTTGTAAGCCAGGTGTAGGAGGCCCCCGCTGTGACAGCTGCATGCTGGGATACTGGGGGCTTCATGAATACGGCTGCCGTCCATGTGACTGCACAGGGGAGTGTGACCCTTACACCGGCGACTGTATATCTGGGTGAGCGCCAGGACTTATCCATATGTATGTGTACTTAAAGTGATGCATGGTGTGGAGGTAGAGTGCATTCTGGGTTATTAACCCTGAGCCCCTGACTGCTTTTACCTCTGCGGCACAGCTCGGTTGAGGAAGTCTTCTATACAGCCGTTGGCCACATGGGACACAGCAGCAATAATAGTGAGACGGCACCCTTTAGGGTAGAGGAGCTTTTCTCTGCACTGCACCACTCTGGTGAGTCACAGGTCATATCACACTTAACACACTGCACTCACATCGGCCCACTGACATGAAAATGCTGCTTTGCTGATCCTGATAAAAAATCATACATCATCATGATTTGAATGAATCTTATTAATGATATTCATTATCTTCCAGAGAAATGTGAGTGTGTGGAGGTTGCTCTTGGCAGCCCTAAACTCTTCTGTGCTGCAGAGTATGACTATGGTAAGAGCTGAGAATTACATTTTGTCTCATGTTAAAAATCCATCGGATTTGCTCAGAATACAATTCTAAATGTTGAAAAAAAAGCCAGTGGTTTTCCCACTGTTGTTTAGATGTCTTATCTGGTGACTCCTTAAAGGTGCTTTCTGCAGTCTCTCCAAAACAATGTTTCTGTTTACATTCTTTTGGAAGCTGCCAGCCACAACACGTGTTTATGTTTCATTGAGGCCAAACACGTTACATCCAGTGTTTTCCTTGCAAAACATTTACAAAGGAATTGTTGTAAACTTTTGAACACTGAAACGTTTACACCCATTTCTTTTCTTGACTGCGGTCTCCTTTTTTCCCTGCGTCTTGAGCCTTGTGCTGGCATATGACTACATGTGTTGGCACATTACTTCAGCATGTACATTAGTTGAATGCTGGGATATTTTGGCACGGATGTGTGGCTTGTCTTCAAAACAAAAACAATAATAAAAGACAAAAATAACTTGTACAGCCTTTCCTAGCACAGCCATTCTAGTGGTCTAATGATTCAGCAGCTGAAAAAGATATCTGACGTCAGTCTGTAGCACACATAGAATTGCGTCCTACAATTTCCATGTTTCAATTCAAAAACAACCTTTTATTAGACACTCCCCGCTTATTCAAGGTCAGCATCTTTCAAACTCTCTGTTCAAGCTTATAATGATGGCTGTTGGTCAAGTCTCAAAATCCCAAGTGGAGTTAATCCTGATGAGATAACTGGTTATTTTCCTAAGCTTTAAAAAGCTTCTCTGGGGTCACAGAGGACATTATCCCATTGTTTTCAGAGACTCTGTTCTTCTCCTTATGACCAGTAAACTGGATGTGGATGTATCAAAGCGGAGGAATGTACCTTTCTACTTTTGAGTAACATAAAAAAGGTTCTTTGCTGCAAAAGGTTTCGTGTTTGAGAGGTTCAAAGTCAGGACTGATGATTGTATTTTGTTCTTGTTTGTTGACTCTCTTTCCTTGGCAGTGCTGCTGGTGAGGGTGATGTCAGCTCACGATAAAGGCTCCCATGCAGAGGTGGAGGTCAAGGTCAAAAAAGTATTTTTCCAGAACCCACAGTTAAAGATTCAGAGAGGAACTGTCACTCTCTACCCAGAGTCCTGGACCGCACAGGGCTGTACCTGCCCCATCCTCAACCCAGGTCAGCTCCAAATGAGAAACTTTTTATCACTCACGATGCAGAAGCTTATAATTAGTCAGCTCTGGAGTGGACAAACTGCCAGCTTTGTGCTGAATAGAGGATCTTTGTCGCCGCTCACTGAGGCTTTGAGTGTGTGCCAACGTCCTGGCATCGCTCATTTAAAACGGACATTCACAGCTTAGAGATTAAAGCAACCTCTGGTTTATGGGACTATTTCATATCCAACGCTTTCCTAATAACCATTTCTGGCAACATTCAGAGCAGCACAGTATTTAACTGGTTTATTCTGGTTATATAAAGATGTGTGTTCTTTCAGTTCTGTGTATCTTAGTATCATTCTGAGTAGAAATTAAATCAGGCTCTGCTGTTTTGTCTCTAGGATCTGAGTACCTGGTGGCTGGTCACGGGGACTGGAGGAGCAGCCAGCTGATGGTCAACACAAAGAGTCTGGTTAAAGCCTGGAAGTCCAGTCTGGGACCCAAAATCCTCCACATCCTCAGAGCAGACTGTGGCCAGCGCTAAGAAGTGCAAAGAAAAATTAGGCAAAGAGCCAGAGAAACAGAACGAACAGAGGGACTATTTGAATATTGTTGGACGCTAACATGAAAGATAAATCAGGTGCCTGCTGCGGGAACTCTACAAAGGGAACTTTACACTCCAAAGAGACAGCACTACAAAGCAATGGTTGTTGATATGTGGTAGAAATGAGCACAAACAGTTAGCAGAATCCTCTAAAGGACGACTAGTAACTTAAGGATCAATGAAAACAAGTTACAGAACTTTAATCAGGACAAAAACAAACTTTATCTTGTCACCATCTTATTCCTGTTGCTGTCTGCTGCAGCTCATGATTCCAGGTTATTTATGAAACAATAAGGAATGCATATTAAACACTCAATTATGTTTTATTTGCTAGCCGTCAGAGTTGATGAGCGGAGTACAGCCAAGGCCTACTGTATCTATTTCACTGAAGGTTGTTTACTCTGGAATCCTGCGAATCATTCTAGTCTTTTCACAGATATCGAAGATAACTCATGAATGACACAAAGTCAGAATGTGGGCAAGTGTGTGTGTGTGTGTATGCTTCATGTCCTTGGCAGAGAGTGTGGGATTGTGCAGGTCAGAACAAGAAAGCCCTGGATGAGAGTAGAGGATGAAAAAAAAAAAAAAAACATTAAAGGAATCAGGAGAAATAATCTGAGCTGCTCCGCTCTGCTCCAGGACCCTGGAACGCCTGCTGTCTGACGAGAGTAAAACACACTTTCTGGAGTGTCTGAAGTACACACGAGCAGCTTAAACACTCAGGATTGACTGTTCTCTTAGGGCTCGGGCAGTTACAAGAGTGGATCATTGTCAGCGTTGTCAGACTTGTTTTGTGAGGATTTTCTGCCGTCCTCATTTGACCTACTTCCAAGGATTCAGAAGACACGGCCTCTCGGAAACCCAGTGGGAAAAGAACATACACTCTGAACATATGCTTCTCTCTCTGGCCAGTGACTCCTGATGCCCCGAAAATAAATATGTATTAAAAGCCCGGATACTCATTGACATCATAGATCAGATACAGCAACCGCAGGCCAATTTTGAGCCGGGTCCAGTTAAGAATAGTCCGAGTCCACTGTCTCCAAGGACAAGGAGAAACTCTGCGAGGAGACATGATGCATTCCTCAACTGTGACATCACCGGCCATGTCCTTGTCCCAAAGACTTTACTAAAAGAAGAGAGAATGGGCTGGAATTTGATCTTTTAAAGGACAAAGTGGTGATTAAGGGAGCTGATGCATGATGCTGTCTCTGTGATATGTAATGCCATTCCTGTGAGTCATGTATGTTCTTTTTTTAAAATCTAAACCACTTTAACTAAATGTCAGCGTGCTCACTCTTAATGCTGATGGGAAGAGTCTATAACATTCCATGGTACCTTTGTGCTGAGGCGGAGGACTATAAATAGCCCGATGTGTCTTACTGTAACATCTTGGCATGTAGAGGAGGCTGACTGATGTATGACCCATGTTTTAGTGCCGCCCTCCTTTGGCAAAAAGAGAGAACAACACTTTTGCATCATCGGTTTTTGGTATTATAACTAATATTTTAGTATGTGAAACCATTGTAAAAAAAATAATTCACAGCAATCAAAGCAAGATTTATAACAATTTATTTCTTATAAAACTGCCTCAAATTAAAATAGAGCAAATAAATATAAATATAAATATTTCATAGCAGTTTTTTCACCATCAGATCTTAACAAGGCAATAAAGCTCAGCATTGTTAGCCAAGGAGTTCCCCAAAATCTTTTTTGCATGATTCTTTTTGCATATATTTCCTTTTGCATATTTCCTAAAAGCAGCACATCAATATTTGACTAAAATGGGAGCTCTACATTACTTAAAGAAATGTCCCTTTGTCTATAGGCTTAATCCTTTGATAAAAAAGAAAAACACTGTTAAGCTACTGCCATGACACAAGTCTTTTGCTCTTGCTTATTTAATGGCCTAAAGGTACAGAAGCAGTGAAAATGTACATAGGTCAGAGAAATATTGCATAAGTTGCTGTCAGTCTGCAGAGGTCTGTTGTCTCAGAGCTGTCATGCTCCTCCCAGTTTCGCCTCAAGTTTTGGCACATGCTCAGTAGTCGTCCCCCCGGCTCACCACCTCCTTGCAGGTGGGCCTGAGTAGGATGGTGTGCTCGTACTGGGCGGTGTAGCTGCCCTTGATGTCGCAGAGAGGTGGGTACGGGTCTATGATGCCGAGGTCGCACAGATTCTTCAACGCCATCAGGTACTTGCTCTCTCCGAGCCGGTCCAGCCAGCGGCGGCAGAATGCCAGAGTGCCAAAGTTCTCGTTGATCACATTCAGCAGATGTTTAGCCCTTGGAAGTCTGTAGCACAGCGACAACAGAGAGTGAGACAAAGTGGAGAGATGCTTCAAAGTATGTAGACATGCGTCGCTAAGTTAGAATTATCAATTGGCTAACAGAAGATGAAAAATCAACCTCTAAATAAACTCCGTATTCTTTTTTTCAAAGCAGGGATTAGATGAAAAAAAAAAAGGCAGAGCTAACCTTATTGGTACGTGTCCAACATTGAAGTTTTTCATGTAATGTGAGCACTCCATGTCATCGTGGACTGCACCTCTTCCTGTGCTGCCAAATGTCTCGATGGCATAAGCTTCACCTTCCTGAGAGGCACCAAAAGAAGACAAGGGTTTTATTTTGAAGCTATAAACGTGGCGTTAAAGGCAAGATAAAGGGATGCAGTCTTTCATGCACATTAACACAAGCCGAGTGGGTTTGATGTTACTGAAAGGACAAGAGCACTCCTGGGGGACTGGGAGTAAATTTAACAAACAGCTCAAGATGCCAGCGGCTGATACATTCATGTGTAGTCTATTAAGGACAGCGGTGTCCTTTCTGCAGCAGCGCCTTGTGCGAGTTGATTGGCCGGGTCTCATTGGCTTCCTGTGTCTCTATCAGCGCGCGGCTGTTGTCGGAGTCCCTGTGGTATTAGCTGATAACACTGCGACACCCTCTCTCGCTGCACCGATAATCAGTCAAAGTGCTAGCAGCCCCGTCGCACGCCCAGCTGCCACTCCAGCCGTGCGCTCTCTGATCACAAAGAGGGTAATGGGCCTGTTACACCAACACACTTCAGCTAAAAATACAGCACATAAATCTGCCTCATCAGCAGCAGCACCCCCCCCACCCTACACAGGTAAAAAGCTTGACACAGCAACTTGCCAATTAAAACGCTCAGTTCTGTCCAAATACATTCATATACTGCAGCTGTGCAGCTGTGAGGCAGGCATGGGTCCATTTGTACTCTCTGTATAAGGAAACCATGTTCCAATTTGATGAAGAATCTGCATGTTAATGAGCTCTGGATGCTCACGATTCAGTGCTTTTTCTGGGAAATGAGGAGCTGATGAGTGTGAACACGTGTTGCTCCTCTATGCGGCTGGTAATTCCATTAAAAGGTGTAATTAAAGTGCTGACGAGGGTGACTAAGATGCTGTTAGAGCACTGAATTGGAACACTTCTGCACACCCCGCCGTAACCCTAACCAGCCGCGTGTTCTTCCAATTACACTCAAGAATTAAAAAGGGTTTATTTATAAGCAAGCTTGAGCAGCTAATAAAGGTTTAATTTCAGACTCTCTGGTTCAAAAAGAAGCTGAAGTGTTGTTTTCTGCTCTAAGATGAGAACGGCCACATCCACATTAAGTTTAAAAAACGATTTGGAGTTGCATCAACAAAGCTTCACACACCTCCATCCTCGTGGCCTCTCCGCCTTTCACGATAGGGACCGTCTTCCCTGAGTGTATCCTGTACTGTCCAATGGAGTGGCCATTGAGATTCCTGATTGGCTTCACTGCAAAGACAGCAGTACCACACAGAGGTTTCATGAACAGAGAGCAGCACAGAGCATGTGCACGAAGAAGAAAGCTGATAAATGAGCTGACATTACCTTGATACGTTTTCCCATCTATCTCCACTTCATACGACTCCATGACCTCCTGAATGGTCTCACCGACATCGCACAGACGCACATCAATCCCTGCAAACTGTGGCAGAGAAAATGTTTAAAACTGGCATCAGAGACAACGGGATCACATTCCTCACATGAGAGACAGTCTGGACTGTAAGGGATATGTGTCCTCTTGGTTTGTGTGATGTGTTTAGGTGATGAGCTTTAAAGGAAAGTACACAAACTCTAATGAACAGGTAAGGAACAAAACAGGAACGAGTGGCAAAATAATGAATAGTTATTCATGAATTACTCTGAATCAGGGACAATATGAATCTCACAGAAGTTTACTTGACATGTACTTACACTAACAATGCACTTGGATAGAATAGAATAAATCTTTATAGTCCACCAGAGGTGGAAATTTGATTGACCTAATAATGGATTCAGGATATAAGAAACATTTTAATAAATCACTCCTGAACCCTGAACCACCGGCACTGAACTTTCTGTCACATTGTAATAAAATGTCCATATCTCTTGAGTATGTGTGTAGAAAGACTTATCCTAAATATTGTAAATATTCAAATAAATCTTTATGACATCTAAGCTTTAAAAAGAATGCAAAACATAGTTCAACTTTTTGGCACTTCATGGCTGCTTTATTTTTTAACAAGTTTGTGTACTTCTTTTGCTGCTTGAAAAAAAATACTTTATGTATCTTGTGTTATTTATTATTTTCTTGCTATGAACATAATTGTCATTATTTATTTGTGATAAAAACATATTTCTTGTTAGCAGGATTTCATCGACACTTTACCCACACCTTCCCATTTTTTTGTGACATCAAGTCACATTTCACCACAACATTTATCTTGGATCAAAGATAAGAGCCAAACAGAGCTGACACTTAATGTGTGTCACCTTAATGCCGGTGTTGGTTGCATCATTCACAGCCTCCAGCAGCCGGTCAAACTTTGGATTGAAGGTGACGGTGAAGGCGCAGTCTATGATTCGACCTGAGAGACCAAACAAAGTTTCATGAAGAAAAACATTATCTCAACTAACTCGTTTACTCTTTTTTTTTTTTTTGCTTCTGTATTCTCCAGGGAAGATCAGAGGCTATGAATAAAGCCCCCCACCCACTTTTTTTTTTGGTGTCATTATCACACTTCCTGGGAGGTGGTCATGCAGAAATATTCAGCAAAATTCATCTTGAAAAAGTAAGAGTTCATTACCAGTTTACCCCAGACTTTAGGAATTACAATGCCATCATACATTTTTTTCTGTGTCTTGATAAATGCCAGAAGTGAAATGGCACAGTATTGGCACAAAAGCATTTTGTTACTTATTAGCGAGCTCTGACCGTTGATGTGCGTTCCAAAGTCGATTTTGCAGATGTCGTCATAGCGCAGCACAGTGGGGTCTCCTGCATTGGGGGTGTAGTGGGCTGCACAGTGGTTGATGGAGCATCCGGTGGGGAAAGCCAAGCCTGCCTTTAGCCCGTTTTCTTTGATGAGCCTCCTGGAGCAGTCCTCCAGTCTCTCACTGCCAGAAACAGAGAGCAGCACCAGGGACAATGGATGAAAGGAACAATGAGAGTGTTTTCAGGGCACATTTCTGCATCCAGAAGAGGATGAAACCACAAAGCAGTTCTCCTGCATTGCAAAACAGCCTCTTCCCTAAAGCCATATCAGTTTCATATTTAAATGAGCCCAGGTAGGTTTGAGCAGCCAAGACTGAAGTCTCAAGGACATCTCACTGCATTTCTCACCAGATGTCAATCATGGTCATCCCCGGTTGGATCCAGCTCCTTACGTAGGAGCGGACCTGCCGGTGTGCCTCGGCAGCCTGCCTGAAATCGCTCCACATTTCCTCGTTGGCCCTGTCCAGCGCCCGCTTCTCTTCGCTGGTGGTCCGCCACGCTGCACTGCGCCTGGTAGGAGGTAGACAGGCACACCGCAGAGAGAGAGGCACTCATTATTTTCTCATTATGTAAATGTTTGCTGTGAGTATATGACATGCTCTTGTAGGAGCTCTGCACAGGTGAAAGTGCTGTTGATCCTTTCCAGCATGAAGCCAAATCTGACAAAACTGGTTTATTTTAAGTCCATACTAAACATTAAAAACACTGATGACTTTGTCCAGCCTAAAGAGAGACATGAATATAAAAAAAAAAACTGAGCATGTCAAACAGTGGAAGACTACTGCTGAGTGTGAGGGACGATGTGGAGGTCACACACCCGTCTTTCGATGGTGGATATTCACACTCCTCTCCCTTTGGAAAGTCTCCACTGGGATAGAGCTCACAAATAGGGATTGAGGGAGGGTCAGTCTGTCCCCTCACTGTGGCCCAGATAGAAGGAGAGAAGGAGAAGCAGAGGAAAGAACACACAAGTTATCCTCCTGATGTACATGACATTCATGTTTTAGCTTAGCTGCAGAATACAGTGCAGTTCCTGACTTCAGAGCTAATTAAGTTAGACACCCTTGAGTAAAAGAAACCCGTTGAATTAAAGTATAAAAGCACTTATAGTATCATTAAGTGGACTAAAGGTAGCAGAGTTCATCGGAGTATTTCACAGCATCACTCTGATGTCTTTATGTGAAGTATGATGTCATTCACTTTGTACTTGACATAAAAGGTCCTGGAGCATTTTGTCCTACACCTGCAGTGTCAGCGCTGCATTCTGTAACAAACATGACACTAATTAACTGAGTCAAACTCCTCTCATGCAGCTTTTCTATCAACAAGATGATTTATAGTGATTCTGATGCATTCCATTCAGGATTAAGATCAAATAAGCCTTTGCAGTGCACATACTACAGTGCTACTTCTTATATCTACGAAGCTTTGATATATATCATCTTTATATATATATATATATTTTTTTTTGATCACACAAGTCAATTTATGTCATCACTGGTCACTTTAACTTTCCATCCACTACACATAATTCGTAATTGTCCTGTATTGCTCAACTATTCATATTCTTTTGTATACATCCTATTGTGAATTTTGTATTACTTCTTTCTTTGTCTTGCTGCTGCAATGCCGAATTTCCCCTCTGGTGATCAATAAAGTATTATCCTATCCTATCCTATATGGATGCAAAGAGAAATCTGTTGTATGCCTCTAACTACTTTAACTCTCATGCTCATGCTATGCAATACAGGACCAACAGAAAATAAATACAGTTTACTACATATGTGTCATGTGCAAGATACAATCATTATTTATGCTGCTTAAAAATGCCAAAAATAATCTTTGCTGCTTTTTATCTCTCACTTGTAGTACACCAATGACAACACCGTTACCAATTACATTAATGTTGCATTCATGTGCAATAGATTCAATATGTTGAATGCAACAACTATTTGTTCTTCACTGCTACCTACATATCACATCATTTTTATTCCATAACATAAAGCATTTTTTTTAATTATGTTATTACTATTTTTATTCTTACTACTTCAGCTGAGGTATAATTTTTGTATTTTATTGTATTTATCTGAATGACTTTTTCTACAGCTGTTCTGTCACTCTTGTTCTTAATTTTGAACAAATGTAACGTTCTAATTTTCCTCTCGGAGAAATAGAATACTTGTGATTTTGTTTCACTGCACTAAGAAAATGGTTGTCTTACATCCTTTCTTCTTTTTCTTCTTCTTCTTCTTTTTTCCAGCCGAGTTCTCACCCTCTTCACCATCTGTTGAAAGCATCGTTAGTTTCAATACAGTTTTCAAAGTGAGAGATATCAACAGGATGGGAGGCTTGGGCATGTTTCCCAGCGTGTCCCACTAAAAAAAATCAGATATCACATTGCAGATATGACCAGCTGGATTTAATCGTTGCACTTTTTCCAGCTTGCTTCAAAGTTTTTCCACAACCACTTCAGGTGATGATGATGATGATGAGGATGATGATGATACCGGTGAGGAGTTACCTTCTTCTCCATCCTCCTCCCTCTCTTTGTCCTCCAGGGTTTGCTGCTCCAACTGTTTTGTCACATCACCAACACCTCCAGGTTCTCCATCCCCCTCAGCCTCATTTGTCCCTGCTGCAAAGTCACACACCCTCGTGCATGCATGTGCAGGTGAACACACACGCACACACACAGAGACACACACATACACACAGGCAGAGTGAGTAAATTATCTGAGGTTGAGAAAGTCATTTCAAGAAAGCGCACCATCCACTATGGACTCAACTTGGCAGAGTGTGTGCATAATTTCTTTCTATACCTAAGGAGTCGATATCCTCAAGGGCATATGTAGCATGCAGCATTATGACATTTAGACCTTCAAAGACACAGCTGTGTGGACAAGACTTCACTTAAGGAGTCTTTTTCAGGCTTTTCTTTCCCCACAGTTTGATGCAGTAAGGCTGCATTCATCATGATGTTCTTTGTACAGTGCCTGTCATCATATTGCTCTAAAACTGTGGATACTTCCATTACATAATTCCATGCAGCTTAGGGAGGATTTCTAGACGAGAACATATCTAATCTTTAGCAAAACTACATTTTTACTCAACTCATGGTTTCAAATGACAGCTTTCAATCAGTTTGAAAGTCACATTCTGTTTTTTTTTTTGTTTTTTTAAGGAGATTGTCCCGTTTCCAGATAATCCCCCTCAGGTACAGAAGAGTTGGGACAGGTACAGCCGGACACGACTATCCTCTGACAGGTTGAAAAGTCTCCCGTCCCGCATATTTGGCGCTCATGCTCTATCTCGTAGTGGCACTTGAGGAGATAATTTTGCGCTATTTGTCTCTCCCCCCCTCATCCCGACTCCCCCTAATCGATTCTCTAAACACAAAGTGATGCCTCTTCTTACCTGGTGCGGTAGTCTTATTCCTCTTCTTCTTTCTTCTCTTCTTCTTCACTGATTCTGTCGCGTCTGCATCCTCTCTCTCCTCGTTTAAAACGTCCCCATTAAGAAGTTGAGGCTGCACTTCATGCTGGAGCTGTAGCTCCGCCATGATCAGCGACTGAGAGGTGAAGTGACGCATAAGCTGCTGAGAGCCTCCAGTGGTCACAGCAGAAAAGTGTGCTGGAGGAGGAAGCTGAGCCAATAATGAGCTATTAGACGATCGGTGCGCAACGACTTGCCCCGAGGAGAGGAAGACGATCCTCGTCCCGAGAAGCACAAACTTTCATCTCTGAAGAGATCTCCCCCCCCCGCCACCCTCCTCTATTTGGGGACACATTGTAATAGTAGAGCAGCAAAATCCCCACTTGAATCTCTCTCTGCTTGGTTATGTTACCATCATGTCCTGACACATGGCCCTTTTAAAAGCTGCACTGCCTTGCTGGAATCATCACTTTCTCTGAACATCCAGAGTTTCAGGTTACCTGTCGCACACCTGTGAACGACTGCAGCTCCTCACTGAAAAGAAACCTCGTGTGTCACTACACCTGTGTGTCAATACGGAAACACTAACCTTGTGTTGTGTTATTTTATGTTGTGTGTATTATGAGATGGAGCTCTGCAACGGTGATCTGCAGCAGGCATAAACAGGCGGTATAGAATTGTGTAACCTAGCAACAAGCCCAGCACAATGAGCGGACATAGGTATGTCCACGCAAGTTAAAGGTGGATTTAAAAGCTTTCAAGTTTGCTTTTGTTGATACTTTTTTTCCCAAGGACGCCTGCTGCGTTTTATCTGCATTTGTCGAAGTCTTAAGAAGAAATGCAAGTGGGTTCCATTTAAAGACAAACATGACCTCTTCTAGATCTAGGATCGCTCCTTTGTATTTCTTTGATCAGGTAGGCCACATTATTTATCATGCTTACTGCAGTTTTAAAAAAAAAGAAAGAAGTTCACTAATAATGTCTTTTACATCTCTGCAGCCAACAAAACGAAGCCAGATTAAAGAATCAAGAAGCAATATTCTGTATTCTAATGGCACAAATAAAGGCGCTTTAATGGACGATACAATACGGAGGTAATTCCATTGTAATATGGCAATAAATAAAAAATTTCCCCCCTATCCGTCTAATACATGTTCTATTTTGTCTCTTAGTGGTCAAGAAAGTGACAAAAAGGAACTTGAAAGTGATAAGGTCCCTCAGTTGCTGTCAACAGAAACGTACGATGATGATACACTTGAGACATCCTTTGAAATAATAGACCATCAAGATCCGATTCAGTCTTACAAACGAGCAGCCCCTCTGTTGTTACATGAACTGGCTCTCCTGCTGTCACAACATGACTGGACCAAGAGTGGCCGGATTCCTGACGGGATTGTCAATATTCTGAATTACTCCTGGCAGGATCTGATTGGAGGGGCTGTGCACTTGAATGGTCCAGAGCAGACGGAAAAGCGAGGACATTTCAGAAGTTCCCCAGAGCTGGATGGAGCTAAATCCAGCCATGACAGGGGGGGAAACGAAATGAGAAACACCTCTGTTGCTGGAAATATTACTGCTTCTGCAAGAAAACCACAAGCTAGTTCAAATCCACGCAAGACAAAGCAAAAACAAATTACCAATACAGGTAGGCCTAAATTATAAAACATAAGAAGAAAGAATGGAGTTTGAGAGAAAACTTCTACAACCGGATTGTTGAAGATGTCTGATTATAGAAATAAGAAAATAAAATTATGCCAGAATGCCTAATGATTTTTTTCCAGGATAACATTAAGGACAATATGTTCTGACATGTTTGCTCTACACAATCATTGATTTTTGAATTAATTTGATTTAGTGAAAAAAGGCAATTTTAACAAGATTACCATTACAGACCATTACAGATCATGAAACTGGTGAATTTCAGAGAGTTTGTTGATTTTGCTAATTTTACAGGGGCTCCATACTGTAATCTTGGGTTATTAAAAACCAATAATAACCATGAATCATTATGGACAATGGACATGTGCTTGTAGTGTGGAAGTCATCACGTTTTTTTATGATGTGATCCTTCAGGACAAGAATGTCTTGATAAATTGCTTTTTAAAAATGCTGTATGCAAAAGTAATGCAAGTTGTTAAACTATTGAAGTCTGCCAAATGCCTTTTTTACAACCTGGCATTCAAAGTAGGTTTTACCTTATAAAGTATTAATCAATAAATACATAACAAATGATAAAGGCCTTACTGACAGAAGAACCCCATTATAGAATAGATGTAATTCAAAAATAATTGGCATGTTTTGGTAAAGGTATACAAAAAAAATCATATTGCAGGATAGATAGAGCCTTAAGGATCAATTTCCAGTTCCACTTTTTATCTAGATGTCATAGGAGCAATACATTTGAGAGTAATGAGAAGGAAAAGTCATTAAAAATGTTCATGACCTTTAAAGACTGACTTTGATGACAGCTATGGTCTCGTGGGCTTGTGGAAGTGAGAGGATGCTTTATCATATATGACAAGTTAGCTTGTAGCTGGGGATGATGTTTTAATGAATGTTTACCAGTGGACAGAGCCATTCAGTTATATGTTTAAGCCTGTTTTTGTTCATACAGAGTCAGTTTAAAGATGAATGTACAGTTGACTTTCTATATTCTCAAACAGTTCACAACTCCACAACCGTCAGTTTCTCCTTCCCCTCAGACAGCAGCAAATATCCAGGTAAGACATGGACCTGAATCTTTGTATTTATAAAGGCCACTGGTCTACTGCAGCTGTCTCAGCTGGATGTTATTTGTGTCCAGGTTGGATCATCCAGCCAAAGAAAACCTCCTGTGATGATCCTCAGCGGATCAGTTTGTGTCAGTGGATGGCGGAGCGGCTCCAGGAGACAAGAGATCCTGAGTGGGTTGTTAACATTTGCTGCTGTATTTAACCTTCTGAAAATGTGTGTCAAATGAGGTGCTACATTTCAAGTGTCCTATCTGATAAGCAGTTTAGTCTGTAGATGTGAATTTCTATTCATTGGTAGGTTAAGAACTTTGTGTCAGTATGTATTTGATGACTCAGCAAGAAATATTATGCATATTTTGATGGTGCCCAGAGGGTGAATTCTAATGACTGCGGTGTTACCCTGACTTTTCATCTATCACCACCAGCCAGTAAACGTTTTCACTGACTCAAAGCCAAATCTCTACAATTACTACATGGATTTGCACAACATTTTGTACAGATATCAGTCGATCATCTCCAATCAAGCCTACGTAATTTGGCTTGATTTGCATTTTTAATCAATTGTATTTGCCATGATATTTGGTATACATGTTCCTATCCCAATTATAACATACTGTATTAGTAATTCCAATTCTTCTTGAGCAAATAACGTTAAGGCCCTTAATATACATTACATTTAAGGCAAATACTGAAAAAGTGGACACCCGTTCGTGTATTGCAAAAATCTATAAGTTTGGCATTTTACGCTATCACATTTTCACAGATCAAGTCAAAGTTGGCCATTTTTGGAAGTAAGGTTGGGGCTTGGGATCATACACAATGATTTGCTTTATCCTAATTGAAAGAATGCGTATCGCAGCTTGACAAACACAAGGTAGACACTCCCCAAAGCTTACCCTGCTTATCGTCTAATTTAGTCTAAATGGGACAATAATAATAAATTAAAAAAAGCATCATACTTCATTTAAGAACTCTTGAAAATGTACAATTGAGATCCTAAACTCTCGAGGAAAACCTCATTAGTTTGTCCCCATTTGCCATGGAAGAGAATGCAGGTTTAAGTCACTTCTCACACCATTTTTTAATACAGTTTATGATGTAGGGCTAATTAACACAACTTAGCATGCCAAAACTCTGAACTAAGGTGATTAACATTGTAAACGTTTGAGCATTTATGCTAAAGTCATGCTGTCCATTCTGAGTCATTTCAACAGTAAATCTCTAAGTTGTGTCATGGGCTGGATGGTTCTTCATCAGAGGCAAAAGATTATTTCTGAGTTTTACATTTGGTCTTCTTTTTTTGCCTTGTAACTCTTCAAATGCGTACTGAAATGCACTGGCTTTTCAGACCAGGTATTTGAGCATAAAATGTTACTTTATCTTTATACAGAAAACTGCAAACAGCTAAACAGGACCTGAACCCACCTGGTTTTTTCCGTCACTATGATGATGACAAAGGTCAGGCCAGGAAGGCGAGGAGAAAAGCCCAACCCACCATTCTGGACAACGGGATGGTTCAGATACCAGAAGTGAGACAGCAGGATCCAGCTCGTCAGAAGCTTCTATACAAGATCAACAACAGCTCATCATTCCTATAGTATCCTTCTTGTCATGTTTATTCATGAATATTTTAATTCCTCTTCTGCTGACCAAGTAGCAAATGCAGTGGAAGGCTTATGGGATATGTGTCACTGCAGCTGACCCTTTGACCCCTGTCTCCTCAGCTACCCTTCAGGTGCTATGGCTGTATGTCAGAGCCATTCCGGTCTGCCCTGTGGAGGCTTCTACACCAATGTCTTCAGTGACAGTGAGTGTCCTGTTATTCTGGCCACCATCACAGCGTTTGGTCACGGCACGGTTACCCACCCTCTAAGGTGAGCCGAGAACTCACACAGGAGGAAGCCTGAATAATGGAAAGCCTCTAAAAGTTAGAAAACAAAACAACAAAAATCCCATCATTCTGGTAAATGGGGGATGCTGTGTTTTGAGGCTGGAATCGTGAGGTTGATGCAAATGGGGAAAAAAAAGAAAAGAAAGATATGTTCTCCTCCAAGAATTGTACAATGCTTTGAAACAATCTGTAATTAGTTACGTAACACCTTTAATGATATCTGAAATATAACTATTCCTCTTCTGTTCGTCAAGTTCTGCTGTTTCAGCCGTGTGGGACCAGGATGGAGGATTCATGTCTGACCAGCATGGAAATGTAACTAAAGAGTGGAGCTGGCACGAGTACCGCACACCAAGGGAGAAGATTGTTATAAAGGTGCAGCACAAAAAGATGGTCTGACACTTGAACTGATGAGTGTGAGATTGATGTGAAATCCCCAAACCAATATAAGAGGCGGTTGAACACACAAAAATAGACATAAATGTTATACGTCAAGTATAAGTAGCTTTTACTCAGCAGCGAGCAGCAGCCCTCATTAGTGTTTACTTTTACAATGGCCAATAATCCTTTTCTTACCAGAGTCAAAATTAAATTAAACTAAATTAAATCGGGTTA